AAAAAAAAAAAAAAAGATTCTCTCTCCCTCTGCCCCTCTTCCCTGCTCGTGCTCTCTTTCTCTCAAAAAATAAAAATAAAATAAAAGTACAAAAGTAATTTCTACACCCAACGTGGGACTCAAAACCCTGAGATGGAGAGTCACATGGGCTACAGACTGAGCCACCCAGGTGCCTTGAAGATCTTTTTAATAGATAAACCCACCAAGGGACTTGAATCTGGACTATCTAGAGAACTCTTGCAAGCCGATAGGAGTAGAATAACCAAAAACATTGTCCAAATGCAAAAATGGCACTTCACCAGAGTATGTTCAAATGGAACATAAATAGGAAAAGGTGCCGAACTTCATTAGTCATCAGGGAAGGCAAACCGAAGCTACGATGTGAAGCCACGGCTCGTCTACAGAATGGCCCAAATCGAAAGACAACAGCTAGTGTTGGTAGGAGCACGGAGCCACTGGAATGCCCTCACGTCGTTGTGGATGTAAACTGGCACATTCGCTCTGGGAAATTCCTTAGGAGCGCCTGCCAAAGCTGAATCCAAGACTCCGCGTTCCATTGCGACGGAACGGAGTAGATGTGTGTTCTCCAGGCTGAAGAGCAGTCATAGCAGCGCTATTTGTAATCGTCTGAATCAGAAATGACGTAAATGCCAAGAAATAGTAGTGTGAACAAATTTTGGTTGAGAATGAATTTTAACTACACGTGAGAAAAAAAAAAATCCAGCCGTACGTCAAGTCCAACATCACACAAAGTTAAAAAACCAATTGATGTTATCGCTACTTTAACGGTACAAAGGAGAAAAAGCTGATGATAACTTCACAGATGCAAAAAACGGTTTTGAGAAAATTCATCACATACAATACAAATTTGAAAGAAATTAGAATAATTATAAAGAATTAGAGTAATAATTGGTAAGAATTCGAAACTTCTTTAACATGCTAGAGTGTCGATACATTTACATTTATAGCCATGACTTACAAAGACCTAGGAAAAACGTCATTATCAATGAGGAAATGTTAGAAACGTTCACTTTAAAATCAGGAATTCAAAAATAATACCCAATACTGTATAGGAAGTTCTAGCCAGGACAATACGACAAGACAAAGAAATTATAGACAAGGGTGGAATGGAAGGTATGAAGCTATTTGCACGTGATATAGAATTACTTACGTAGAAAACTCAGAATATACGTACGCATTTTTAGAAACCGTGAGAGAGTTTAGAAATGTGGCAGTATAGAAAATTAAAATATGAAAGGCAGTTACATCCTACACACCAGCAGCAAGCAATGAGAAAATTACACCACATGCAGCAGCAAGACTATCAGGGTACTAAGAATAACCCTAATGAAAGATGGACACAATCTCTATTGGGTACGTTGTGAAACTTAAAGAAGACATAAGTAAATGGAGAAATATATCACACTCATTGGTAGGAAGATAAGATTTCATTAATTTGTCAATTTCCCCCCAATTGATCTAGGGATTCAATGCAAATCCAATCAAAATCTCAATAGGATTTGTGGTGGAACTTGATAAAAACAACTATGATATTTATATAGAAGGGAATGAATCCAAGAAGGACCAGAACCCTTAGGAAGATGGGCAGAGAGGCAAATTGTCCCTCAGATGTGAAGACAGTACAACCTTGGGGGGGGGGGTGCAGATTCATCTGTGGAATAGAACAGACACTCCAGAGACAGACCCATGCATGTACAGAGTGAGATGTCAGTTCACAGTGGGAAAGAAAGGCATTTTTCAACAAATAAATGAAACAAAGTTGTTATTCCTATGGAGAAAGATAAAATTTTTCAAATAAATTTTTTTAATTAAAATTTTTTTAAATGTTTATTTATTTTTGAGAGAGAGAGA